TTATCGCAAGGCCAAATGGATAGGAAATGGGTGAGCTCTGAAAACTTCATAATGACCATGCTCAACTTCAAAACTTATTTCTGGACACAGATCACTAACCTTACTAATGCCTGGTCCACATTTACACAAGTAACTTTTAACAAACAAGATAACTTTTTTTTTGCCAAGTATACAGAATTTGTTTTACTTCTGTTACAAAAGAACATCAAACTTTGGTCAGTGTCATTCCTGTCAGTCTTACATGACGTCAGTGGCCATTTTCACTCCATTTTCACATTTAACTCCAAATACTATAAACTTTTACACTTAGGATAGTCTAACTGTCTGTGAATAGTTATGCATCACACCACATAAATCAAAATTATATTTTGATTGGATTGCTGAAACTGTAAATTTTATTTTAAATCTGAAATTAGCCTAGCATGGAATTTTATAAACCCTTTCTACAAACATCATAACAGCAATAATACATGGTTAATAAAAAAAATAATTCTACAGAAAATTGCATAGGTACACATCTCTGGTCATAGTGTCCTGATACACCGTTCAGAACATTTCTGGAACAACTAATCATCGCAGTCTGCTGGGTTAAATGCAATAGGAGCATTAGTGGTACTGTTATAGACTGAGCGAGCCTCCAGCGTCATGGCAAATTCAGTTCAAGCATCATATTTGTGGCTGCATCCTTATTTGGAAGGGCTGTCTCAGGTATAATGCCAAGTACACACAAGTATCAAACACTACGAAAAAGGGCCGCCCCCCCCTGACGTGGCAACCAGACTGAAGGAAGTGACATTTCCACAATCCAATCATTTAGCACAATGAGCTCTTTCACACTCTCCCCTAAACCTATGAAACATCATCTACAACCAACAAGCTACAAGCTACTAGATCCCAGTCACAGAACCACTGCATTCTGCACAACTGGACCTCATCTGGAGCTGCACAGGCCAACCATACATCAAAGCTCCTTTAATGGCAGTCTTGTGATGCAAGGGGATCTGTATATTTGTCAGACTGCAGGGCAGTATTGTCACTGCAACAGGCTCATTACATGGCATAAGCCCAGTTTTCTGGTGGCCCCATCTCTTCGGCAGCCCTTTTTTCCCCCACAGGAATAGGTAGTTTTTTCTGAGACAATTCACCCAGAAAATCCCATTGAACACATGTAAACAGCATAGCTGGTCAGGAGCCTAACGTAAAATGGAAGGTGGCACAACCTCTCCTTTAACCACAAGGATTATAACGCTGCAGGTTATCAATGGTCTGCTAACAACGGGGGACACAGCACCGCAGTTCCATTGGTCTCCAAGACACTTCAGTATCTAACAACCAGAAATGGACCTTCCTCAGCACAGCTTCGGGTTTATCGGGACTGACCCCAAGAGAAGAACAGAGGGCTTGACACACTGACATGGGCTGAACACCGAGTTGGAGATTTTCTCATCGTCCTGCAGTTTGCAACTGAGAAAAAAACTGCAGCTTTCCTGCATTTATCATTTATTCATGAAGGACATAATTCAAGCTGTGGGTCTCTGCTGCAGTCTACAGAGACTTAACAGCATGACTTTTGTACCTCACTATCCCTCCTGGCCCAGTACTTCCGCATACACCCCTATGTCTTAAGCAAAACAATAGCTAGAATGAGTTTAAAAAAAACAAAACTGTTCTTCTGCTAAGAGCAACACAATTATCAATTTACTGTAGATTACATACAGCCTGAGGTCATCTGTCATTGCGGTTTGAATTTTAAAAAAACATTAAGAGTGGCTGCAGTCTTCATCTTGTATACCACAAGAAAGAAAACAAGTCAAACAATATCGGTCCATCCTTTAAAAGAAAAAGAGATGCCACATGTGGTTTAAACTCATACTAAAATAACATCAAGAAGTGACCAAAGTGCAAAGCCTACATACATCACAGCACTCTCGTGTATATATATATATCTGCACAAGAAGCTACATACTCCTTGAAGGTATTTATTTTTGCAATAGGACAATTGTTACAACTTGATCGTGCTCTGCTGAGATTTTATTTCTACACTCTGACTTTCACTGGGGGTTATGATAAACCTCATGGCACTCAGCCAATCACAACTGAAGAGAGACAGAAATGAATGGTGAAATACAGGCAACTGTATAGTTTCTCGAGTTGCTCAAAGAAAGAGTTAAAGGTAAAAATATTTTCCAGATTTGTCTTGACATATGAATCAAAGAATAAAATAAGATTTCTATCAGCGATTGCTTCACAGAACTCAGAAATAGCAAGTTGATGCATCTTTAGCAATAAAACCCTCTTAAACATTTGTCAGTGAACCTGTGGCACGATTCCTTCATGATTTGTGACCCTTCGATGCAAGAATATTTCAATTCAAAGTTCGATGATTTCACTCGAGAACAGCCTTCTACTAAAGATTCTTAGAATTTAATTAAGAATTTGACTGCACTGTTCCTGAATCTTGACCTACATTTTCTTTATTCTGAACATTCACAAGCACTTTGAACTGCTGCTGTGTGAGTATGTGCAGTTGACTTTGAAACAAAGTTTTGCAATCGAAAATGTCAGACTTTTGCCAATATATTTTGGTACGTGATGAAATCTGTTAAAGCATGTATAGCAGTCACTCAAATTAAAGGACCCAGTTGTAGTAAAATTCGAATTATAGTACAAAGTATTCAGTTTTTTTAGACACAATAGTTACAAAAATTACAGAAAGCAATAATTCAAGTATTATAGAATATTGCAATATAAAACCAATATAGAATTGTGATATTCAGGTGCTAAGAAATCAACAAGCCCAAACTGCTAACATAAAGAATCAGCCTTGTGTTTCCTTGTGTCCAATCCAAGCCAGTACACTAGGCCAGGGGCTGAGATCACAAGGGCAGCAAGGCAGTAGATGAAAAGGCCAAAGACCCTGGCCTAAAAAACAGAGTAGCGTAGTAGTGCTCATTCCTTGTTCAACGTATCCCTCAGGTGCCAACAGAAAAATCTGAAGGGCTGATTTTAAAGCCATCAAACGGTTCACACTCTTGCTGACATACCTAGAGAGTTTCAGATGCAGATGGCCCATTTCATGTCGCTGCACTGCCATACCGAGCAGCATGCGGGGCTTGTACATAACCCAGTATAGTGCTCATCTTCCAAGATATAATAAAACAATACTTCTGCTGGAATTATGGAGAAGTGGAACAAGTTCTTCAGTGGGCCCTAGTCCTTCAGTCACCATGACACCATTGACATACAACACTGCGCAACAAGAGTCTTTCCTACGTTTTGGTTTGGCAAAATGTCCTTTTGTCTCTCATGTTCGTACATAACAGTTACAGGCAACAGCAGTGGGAGCATGTATCTGGAACAACGTTAATCACTAATTTATTAAGTGAAACTTTTTTTTTAAAGTCCATTAAATAGGGAATGTCACCTCTTCTGTATAATCTGACCACTTAACTCGCTCTAGTGACTGGTGGTGGTGATGTTTGGAAGCCTTTTCCAACGTGATAAGCAAGGTGCATCAAATGTAGAGATTTCAAAACTAAGATAATGTACAAAAGGACTGAGCTGAGAACTGACAAATATAATAAATAAAGTGCTCGATTGCTTCGAGAGTAAAAACGAAGGCCTGTTTTTCTCATGTAGTGTACTAAGCAGATAAAAATGTCTCTTTGTTTCCCTCCTGCTTGCCATGAAAACAACAAACCACCATACAGAATTCCAATCGTTTACCATACTGAGCCCCCCTCAGTAAAGTTCCCTTTCTGTAAATTAACAGACTATATTAGCTAATATTGTCCAACCTGGTGTATCAAGTGGATTATGTGATCTTGCATGAGGTGTTGCAAGTATCTGCAAAGTGCAGATAAAAAACAAGAATTTATTGAATGTTACATCCGGTGCTGAACACAGCAGTTAATCAAGACATTAGCTTTCTTATGAAAAAAAGGATTATGTCCCCTTACAGAGCATGTAGACCACCTATGGGCCAGGCTTATTCTTGAGGAGATGTGTGGTTTTCATAGTTTACACCCAGCATTTTGGCACTGTTGTCACAACTTGTATCAGCAATATTTGCATGTTGTTGGAACCCTTACGCATTGTATACATTACCTCAAGGCACTATTTTAAAATGTATTTAATGTTTTGATTTATTGCTAAGAGAAAAATAATCATTCCGTGCTACACAGGTACTGAAATAATCTAAATATAACTTTACAATGTACCAGCCTAATATAATTGATATCATAGTACTCATGAAGGGACGTTACTATCATTTTTGTTTTTAGCCGAGCTTGGATTTCTAGATTGTACTTTAAAAAGTATATATTGAATGTACAAAAATGTTATCAGCGCGAGATGCAACCTATAACACATTGTACTTGGTAAAAGCAGGCAAATACTTTAGAAATGTCGAATCGTTCTTCGCTAAAGCAGTAGCGAATAAATTGTTTTTTTTTTTTTATGAGTAGCGAGAATCTACATGTCCAAACTTGTATTTATGGCTCCTGTACAGGCCTCATTCTTCGGTCATGAATAGACGCATAAAGATAAAATGTGGTTTATAAAGGATAATGACATTAATTGCTAAACGGATGAAATCAATTTTTTGCTGCCAACAAGAATTTGCGTGCTGTAAAAAAAGCAGTATTTTTTCTCAAGGAAGTTGTAAAGTTTTATTATTACGCCATGCATCTGTGGACAATGTTGCAGTTTAAAAATGTTGGAAACTCTGGGAAAACAAACATCTACGAATTAGTTGCAGAATGTCGCTACTTGTGTTAAGTAACACCAAACATTTTTGTAACATTTTTAGCAACTTTTGGAACGTATTATATTTTAAATCTTATTCGATACATAATCAGAATCCCAGCTGTAAAACATGTTATCAGGTTAAAAACGTAATTTTAAAACAAAACATTTAAAGACGCAGCTGCCAATATTTGAAAAAACTAAAATTACGCATATACACAACTATGTTGTGCAGTAGTTCAACAAATACTTACTTTCTCCTTCAATTTTGTCTGTGCCTCTGGTCCATATAATTTGCCTCGTCTCAAGCTTGACTTGAAATGTTCTCCTCTCCGGCCGCTGAGATTTTTTGGAGTAATAGAGTGTCAGGACAGTGCCAAGCTCAAGGTCTCTGTACAGATTGTTGACCTCCGCATCATTCTCGATCCAAGGAACTGATCCGTTGGAAAAGAAGCCCGTCGTCGTAGCCATAGTCAATTCCTTGTTTGTTGGCCTTTCTCTTATAAAACACTAGAAGGCTTTAAAAGCAGGACACCTCTGAGTGACGGGTAATCGCTACAAAGAAAGATCCATTTTCACGGTGATGATTAGCAGGAGTAATAATTATGATCCGGTTCCAGACACGGGACAGTCGGTACGTTCACACGCGCCCCTACCTTACAAAGAAGTCAGTCCAGAAAAAACTTCTGCTAGGGTCCATTTTCATGAATTGGTGGGTAGCCTATATTATGTGCAGAGGTCTGTCGGGTGCTCGCTTAAACTACAATGTGCATTAAAACAAATACAGCACTGTATTATTTCTTCAAAACCGCGAGAGAGGGAGAGAAAAAATGCCAACTTCTTTTTTTATTCCCCCACCTCACCACGCTAAATATCCCCAAGGATGAAAAATAAAATCTTCCACAGGTTCTACCAGCAATCCGTTACACGGTTAAGTTACAGCTCAGAAGTCTGTGTAATGGTAAAAAAAAAAAATGTTTCCTTTCCATGTGAAGTTTCCTGCTGTCGATCTTGCGCCTCTATCCCTAGTACCGGTGCGCTAGAAGGAAAAACACACAATAAAATCGGTCTTTACGGATCCACTATCTTACAAAACGGTATTGATTGGAGAGATGAGAGGGTAGGGGAAGTATGGCTGATCACTGCAGTCAAGTCAGGTTCTGCCTGTACAGTATTTTCTCTCGTCTTGCGCCCCTTCGCCTTACCTTCTCAAAATGTAATTGACACACGAGCACAACAATGCCGAACTAACACTCAAGCGCACTGGGATCTCGGCTCGGCGCACCGCACTTCCACGTTTCTTCTTTTTTTTTAAAAAAAAAAGCCCGTCCTCTCCCTTTCCTTTCATCCCCGTGTGCATATGCCGATGCTCTTCAGTCCCGGGAAAAGCCTTGTGGTTTTTCCCTTGGCATCCTGTTAGGGAGCCTCCATTGAGTTAGCCATGCAAGCTAGTCGGTATCTGAAACATAGCAGCCCTTCCCCCTCTCCTACCCCCTTCTGCACAACAAAGCGCCGGAGAGTTCAGCCTCTTAAAGACACACGACCGGCTTTCGGAGCTGTTTCTCCAACTAATGTCGAAAATGACGTCTAAAATTACCATCAGTCTGTTTGGGGCAGAAAGCAGCCGACGGGACCTGCAGAACATTCACAATAACAGCACTAACAATAATAAATAAACAATAATATAACTGATATAGCCATTATTTGTGTTGACTGCAAACAACCGCTGTGCGTATTCTATCGAGCTATAACCTAAGATTGTGGTTTGCAAGTGATAGGGATTGAAAGAGAACGCATCCATCAACTTGAATAGTAGTATTTCAGGTGAAGCAAAGAAGCTTACAGGTGTACCAGCAACTGAACACGACTGCTCCAGTAAGAAACACGCAGCACTTGGGTGCTAAATGTAGACGTACCTATTTAAAACATGTATTAAATGCCTACGAAATTAAACTGGTCTTTAAAGAACTATTCCAGTGATGTCCAACTGCATGTAGACCAAATAAATGTCCCGCTAATTGTAGAAAACAAGTAATGACATATTGCTGGTATTAATGACAATGACACAATACCGATGTCTCTGTAAAACAATTCTAGAACCTAAGACCCAAATGAAAATGGCCAAATTCATACCTTATAAACCTACCTATCTTACCTGGGATTTGACTTCTACCATACCGAGGTGTATAATCGATACAGAAATTAGTTTTTTTTTAGAATTGCAATGTTAGTCATTGCCCGAAAAGCAGTGTTCCCTCGGGTGTATCTTCCGATTCTGTTTTTTTTTTTTTAAAAAAAAAAACAGATTTCAACGTGGCATATTTCTAAGGATTTCACACGCAGCTCGTCCGTACACATCCATCTTTCGGCACAGCTCCTTCACGGCATGATTCAGCAAGCACGTGTTTTCGTGACGAGTTAACATTTGGGTACATTTCTGAGTTCGGAGAAATACAAAGAGAAAGAAACAAACAAAAAAACAACTAATTGAACCGATGTGTTAAGTTTTCAAGCACCCACAGTACGTCCCCTGCTCCGTCTCAGCCGTGAGAAATGAAATCCCGGAGACTCTGCGGAGACCTCGCGTGGTGGGAAGAGGAAAAGGACGGCGGCCCCTAATTTCCACTCCACTCCGGCGTCAGACCCGAGAGAGAGGTGGAAGATTGTGATGCCATTTCGGTCACTTTTTTTTAAGCGCTCAGTCAGCTCTGGTGGAAGGTGGCGAAGCGGGGGCGTCGCCAGGAATTGATTTTTGGGTGGGCCTGTGCAAAAGTGGGTGGCCTGGGCCCCGTCCTGCCCGCATAGGGGCGCCCCTCCAATTTATAATCAAACAGTAGAAGTAGCTGAACCTTATGTATACACACTGTCTCTCTCTCACACACACACAGGTTAAGCAACAATTGCCTAGGCTGCCACGGCGGACACACACAAAAAAACCAATCGGTGCCTATCTCTGTTGTGAGGTTTTGGCTTCTAGACCAGACGCAGGCGCCGGGGTTGGAATTGAATATGTCGATAATCTCGTCACTGTCTAGAGAGTCGGCAAATTCCCGTTCAAATGACAGCTAGTTTGCAGAGGTCTCTAATACGAGGACTTCGTTTTTAGCTAAAGAAAAGCTGCAAGAGCTCATTTTCACTTGTTGCTTGTAACAGTTCTAAGTATTTCGTATGCCTGCTTTTAGATTGCTCAGTAGTTTTACGAGTTACTCTGAAGTTAATATTTTATTGCAAAACGCAAGATTCAAAATCCGGCCGAAATATTGTATTATAAATACCATGCAGGGTTTACCCCGTCTGCCGAGTTCAAGCGCTCTGTTAAAGTTTGTGCCGTTGAAAGTAACTTCCCAGTTTCTTTCTTTCCCGAGATATAGCGCCTTCTTTTTTTGGGAGGGGTGTGTGTGAGACATCACTCAGACACCTACAACGTCGTAGGGGAACCGGACGGGTCTCAATTGTTAGTGCTACGTTTGTGTCGGTTTGTGCAGTTAAAAGTAGAGTTTGTGCTGCTTTCTTTTCCGAGATATAGCGCCTTGATTTTTCGGGTAATCACGTGACTATCTACAATGAAGTTTACAGGGACCAACAAACTCGGTACTTGAACCCCTGATTGTGATGAAAACAATGGGGGCAATTTGTCAAAATAAAAGTCACGACCACCAGATCATTCAGTTGTGATCTTTGATCAGTTGACCCCAGACTTTGCAGCCTTTACACGAATAAACTGTCTTACATTTAGGGAGGAGTTACTATGTTAGTTCATTGGGTTTGGTGTTTTCGTTTAATTTTTTAACCATGTTCTCGAAAATGTATTGCTTGTATACTCCTTTCACTGGTGAAGAGACCATTTCCAAATCACCGCTGGTATAACACGAGAGCCCATTTTCACATTTTTAGGTATTAGTTTCAAGATCGATATAATTTAACAATACAAAATAAATTGAAAGCACGAGCATAATAATATAATGATCACAGACTTTACATTTCTAATCATTTTTGAAGTAAAAAGCAGAAGGTGTTTCCCCTACCTTAAATATACGATTAAAATTGTTCAAATACCATTAATTCATTAAAGAAAGCAGTTATATTGCAAATAAAAATGTATTTATTTCGAAGAGTACGGGAGATTGTGAATCAATAAAGACATTAAAAAATAAGCCGATGTAGTTATTTTGCAAATAAGTAAAGCAATTAAAATTAAAAACAGATTCTCATTGACAGTAAACAAGCTGATCCAGCAGGCGCTGCTAGCTTGAACAGCTCTCAGACCCGTGATTGGCTAAACCCCCGAACAGTCCGGGCAGCGATTGGGTGAAGAGTGAGAATCGACACTCTGATTGGGTAAAGCGCCACAGCGGAAGTTCTGTGTGTACCGTGTGTGCTGTATGAGCACGCTGGATATACAGTAACACATCCATTGGTTTCCAATTATTGATCAAGGCGCACTGAGGTCAAAACTGAATAGCAGACACAGAATGTCATGGCATCCACAGCGCGTTCACGACTCCGATAACCTGTCACGATAGAAGTGCGCATCACGATCACATCACGATACCCATTACGACTGGCGCATAACAGTCAAGGCGCCACATTAAGCATATATATCGCGATGTGACATACCCGGATAAAACGCCCCCGCCCTCATGTCTCGACATGGAGCCCACATGTCGCGATATGGCGTTCCCCGATTAAAAACCCACTCCCTTGTCGCGAGACTGAGTACACTTATCGCGATATGACAAACGCCCCCCGCGCCCATGTCGCGATATGAAAGGCCATATATCGCGATATGGCATGCCCCGCGAAAACCGCCCACCCCCATGTCGCGACATGAAGCCCGTATATCGCGATATGACATACTCCGTCAAAAGTGCCCCGCCCCATATCGCGACATGAAAGGCCATATATCGCGATATGACATGCCCAGCTGAAAACGCCCACCCCCCATGTCGCGACATGAAGCCCATATATCGCGATATGACATACTCCATCAAAAGTACCCTGCCCCATATCGCGACATAAAAGGCCCTATATCGCGATATGACAAACCCGTCAAAATGCCCCGCCCCCATGTCACGACATGGAGTCCATATGTTGCAATAGGACATACCCTGACAGGATATGCTGAACCTTTATCACGACACAAAGTCCATATATCGCGACACGACACGTCCTGTCTGTCTATATCCTGTCCTGATATGAGACAGTGCCAGGGTGGCATGGAAGCACGGCACCAGTCGTGATATACATTGCCGCGATATACATGGGGTCCCTTTTTATGACATGCTGCGGAGGTCTTGTCGCCATGGTATCCCACAGTTACGCATTTGGCAACAGCGTGTCACGGTAGGGAAAGAAAAGGAAAACGTGCCTTATAAAATAAAAACCATAGATCTTACAATCACGGTGATTTTACATACATTAAAACCACAGGTTTATGTCATAGATGGTTAACTTGTTGTCTTGCGTCATGTCTTGGGATTATTCACATGTAACGAGGCTCATATGTTTATGGATATTGATTGTCTTTGAAATGTTAAGGGTACGAGCTAAACTGTAACAGAGCGCTGTAACTCGGCAGACGGGGTCACTGGAGGTAAAAGTCACCGTGCATGGTCAGGTGATCACCGGAAAAACAAGGCGTTATATCTCGGGAACGAAAGCAGCAAACGTAGCACTAACGAATGAGACCGGTTTGGTTTTCCTACGACATTGTAGGGGAGCTGAGTAATGTCACGACAGCGAAAAAACAAGGCGTTATATCTCAGAAACGAAAGCCGCACAAACGCGACTTTTAACTGCACAAACCGGCAGACGTAGCACTAACGAATAAGGTGGGTTTCATTGTTTGTGCTGTCTATAGTTGGCGGGACAACGTCACGGAGCTTTTACCTTGCCTTTAAATATTCAGCGGACTTGAGCATAACATACCAAAGAACGTGCACGTATGGGCTCCAGAGGTTGGAGTTACAACAGGTCATAAAACTTGTGTAAACATAATCGCACATGCACATGCCAGTCGATTCTCCAGCAGATATCCCACGGATTCAGAATGAAATGTTTTATCTTGTTCCGTGGATGCTGACAACACAATCCCTGCTGCTTTACAAGGCAGGCATTAAACAAATTGGTACAATAAAAGTAGGAATGATTGAACTACAACGCGATATTTTAACCTATTTTCATACAGGATCCTTAGAAAGCATATCATGTCTCCAGGGGATATCTGTCTTTCAAACTTACCACACAGAGCATCTGCTATTGGGCACACTTGCCCTGCCATGTTAAAACGTTCATCAATACAATCAGCTTACCCAGCCAGTCCATCGGCTGGCTTAATAAAGGGAGCTCTTTGAAGATCTCAACGTCAACTTCCAGAACAGGCTGCCTAAGTAAGTAACCCTATACGACGTTATTTAAAGAAAAAACAGCAAAACTGACTCCCCCTGTCTGGTGTTATTCCCAGAGGTTTTGAGTTGATGCACACTAGCATCAACTGTTAAATCATGTTTGGTCGTTAATATTCAAGCATATTTTCTATGAAAAAGTTGTTTGTTGCTTCCTCTGTGGAAACTATGGACACTCCCAGATCATTTAAAAGACTGAGTTTTACCCCATTATTGTTAGGATGGAGGCGGACGATCTGAACCTGGTGCAATTTCACGATGGATTCCACACCCCTTCATACATTTCCTGTAAACTTCAAGTATTCAAGAATTTGCACATTCTTCTACTCATTTTAGGCTTCACAGCATAACATGACAAGAGCACCCAACTCTGTCCCATTTGCGTTTGGTGTGACATACAAAACAGAAACACAAGAAGGACTTTAAGTTGTAGGATTTTATTTTTAAATAACCTACATTGACAAAATAGGCAAAAAAAAACATGATTGAAGGCTAAGACAAAAGTTGTTAAGCCAGTAAGAGATTAAAATAATAAAAGCGGCTAATTTCACTAACACTGCTTTCTAAAAACAAAAAAGAAAAACAAAAGGTCCAGAATAAAATTCATGAAGAAAATTCACATTAAAATTTTCTTTAAAGTTTTTCAATCTTTACACAAATACAAAAAATAAAAGCCCTAAAACTGTAACTCACTAGATTACTTTTTTTTGGCAAAGTTGATATCCCTCACATATTTTATCTGACCTTTTGGGGAAAAAAACAAATCCATGCCCACCCTACGATACAATAAAATAGTTTTTTCTTCAAGTAACAGATAAGGGAGTTGTTGCTTTAGCCTCTTAAAACAGTCTTCAGAAATAAAATTAAAACCGAAATGCAGGACTCAGAACTATGTGGACACTCGGGATACTGGGGGATTGCTATCTACTGCAAAATAAAAAACAAGTTCACATTTACACTGAAAACAAAAGAAATTCCCTGATAGAAACTGTGAAAAAGAAAAAAAAATTCACATTCTGTCTTCTAAAAGAGTAAAATAGTTAAGAAACTGTTTTCTCCAGTATCCGTGCTAAATTTCACCGATTGAAGTCCACACAGTTCTAAGTTCAGTTAAAATTAACACTAAAACATCACGCGCTCTCCCATCCACACACAGCTTTTGTGGTCAGCAATTAAAAACATTATTTCAACCCAAAAGGACTCTTTCATTGTTGACATAGGTGTAGCTTAAGGAATTCCTTGATTTTTCTATTAAAATATAGAAGTTATTGAGAAGTCCAAGGGCTATAAACAGACTGATTTTTTTTCTTTTTTTTAATACAGTAGCTATAAGACCACAGAGTTCAAAGGCTGCAAGGTCGTGACCTCGCAGCTGAGGGATCAGCCAGTTTTAGTGAAGGGTCAAGTCATTGTGCGCTGCATCGCGTCTTGGGGTGGGGAAGGAGGGGGACAGGAGATCTGACAGATCTGCTCACGTTGTCTTCAGCTGCAGATTTTAAACCAAGACACTTCCTGCTGACCTCCGAATCCCCCCTCCCTCTGACCCCTGACCCTAAGGCCTACCGTGATCCCTGCACCTTCCTCTCTCCCTTTTTGCCCCGTCCTCATTTCCTTGTCAGGATGACCAGCGTGGTGGAATTAGTTATGCTATAAAACAAATTAAAAACGGAATAAAAACCGCAAAGGGGATTAAAACTCAAAGTCATCATCTGCCATGTCGATGGCCCAGGCAAACTTCTCCCGCTGAGTCTTGTTATAGATCTTCTCGACGGGCACACCCCACTTCTTACACCTGCAAGTAAACGCGGGAAAAACACAATTTGAAAAATTGAGACAAAGCAGGCAAAAGGTTAGTTTTGCTTAAGAAAATGCATCTCAAACTTTTCTCTCCTGCCAAAATCTAAAATAATTAGATACCTTCCTTCCTGTAAATGTAATGAGAAATACTTGATTTAACCCCCCCCACCCCCAACTAGAATTATGGTAAAATAAGAGCTTGTTTCAATTAAAATAACCATTTAATGCTGTAACAAGCTACATTAAAATTAAAAATATACTCCAGGTCTTTGATCTCCAACACAGAACTGAAAAAAAAACATGTCACTCGAGAAATCATTTTGAGTGTCTTTTCAATCACCATAGCGTCTAGCCAGATCTACACCTTTCAAATTCTGCAAATCAGAAAACAAAGCAAGGAAAAAAAAAAAAAGAGTTCAATCTTAAACCTTAACTCTGAACTACCTGTCTGACAGCAAGCGATCCTTTGTGCAGATCTGTCACCAGATAGAAGTGTTTCAGACACAGGATCTTAGCTTCCTCTTACCATGCTACTGAGATGCGTGGGTCCAGGTAGTTGAGCTTGGATGTGCCCAGAGCAATCTGCTTGTTCTCCTCGCGGTCCGTTGCCTGAACTTCAAGCTTCATTAACTGCTCCTCTATTCTCTGAACGGCTTTCTTCTTGCTCTCTACAGCCCTTTAGGAAGAGACAGTACAACAGGAGAGCTGGTGAACTCCCCCGGTCCACTGACCAGCCTGCCCTGCTGATGCTTCTTGCGGCTTGAATACTCACTTTTTGGACTTCTCGTCTCTCCGTACTTTGGCGTCAGCCTTGGCACTCTTCAGTTCCCTCCGCGCATCGGACAGCTGATCTTTCTTGGCATCAATCTGTGACGAGCAAGAAGGAATGGGATCTGTGAGGAATGGCCAGTTGGCGCCAAGTCAGCAGGTTTCACTTCAAGTAATGAGGACTATTAGGCCTTCTGGTTCACTTTAGATCATGCTAGTAGTTCAATACCATACAAATATAGGAACGTTAAATTGACTTATTTACATCTGTCCGTAATGTAACCCCCGGCTAAATCTGGAATAGAGAATGCCATTCCAGGAATCTGTCAGATTAAGAAGAGTTTTAGTGTTCATCATGTGACTAGAACTTCAAGTTAGTCCAGATTAGGAATGCTGACACCAGCAGCAAAACATGAAGAGGCAAAAGCTTCTTAAAGGGGATTTATGATTATTCTGTCATTAAACATGCTAAAACAGCAGATAATTAAAACAATGTGGTAATGTAAAAGTGTATTAAATACAAGCTTACTCCTGTTCTTTCCCTTTGATTTTCATTCCATAGTGTGCACCATCGATGGTCAAGAAAAGCATCTAACAGTGTGAATCAGAGACTTAATTTTGAAAGCATTACATTTAGTTACTCTTCTCTCAGTTCAATATCTCATGCATTTTACACCTGCTGCTGTGGAGTGAACTATTTTATGTCCTTCTAGTTAGATGTGGACATTTTGGTTCTACAGATGGTGACACACCTGCACAATTAACACCACATTTAGCAGAAAAGGCGACTGCCTTCGTGGTAAGGAGTTAAAATTTGAATTCTCTTCACCTACCAAAAGTACTAAATCATGAAGACTGAAAATCAAGGGACAAAGGGGTGGAATGTGGAGATGCATATTTGCTATGATAATGTGTTTAAAGGAGAGAATAATCAGCTCTTGAAATAGCAAACACTTGCCACCCCAAACCTACACACCAAGGTGTACTTTAAATAGTCACCCATTTAAAATGGGTGTTCTGCAAACTCATGAAAGACTTGGCTGGCCACCCTAAAACATAGCCTTCTGAAACTTGTCATCTCAGTGGTCCACATGCACCCTGCAGCATAACAACTTTCAGTGAAGAAGGTGACAGAAAGGATAAAGATCACATTACCTTGGTCTACAGTTTACTGTCCCTATGAAAATACATCTCATTCAGTAACACTTTGTTTCTTTTTCTGAAGCAGGACTGGTTGTGAAGTTAATGGCCTTTTTAATTGCACACTGCCAGACCCACCTGGAGTGCACAATGCGTTCTAAATACAAACACAGACATTTTAATCATGCTACTGGCTCATCTTTCAGGAGAAACACACAACTATCACCCCACTGGAACCAGCTTCAAATCCCCTCTCTGTACCTTTGACTGCAGGTTCTGCATGGACTTCTCAAAGGTTTTGGGTGGCGCTCTTTGATGGTTACATAGGATAGCCACGGCCCTGTTAGCTCGGTTGTAGGATAGGATCTTAGCAGGGATGTTTTCATCAGCTAAAAAAAAACAAAAAGAGCCTGTTAGGACTGAAGCTTCTTGTGGTGAGGAATCCAACTGATAATTTCAAGGAAAGCTGTATTCTGACACTTCCTCAAGAAGCAAATTCCTCACAGAAGTATCAGGATGTTGGAAAGTATTGAATTGCCTGCAACTTGGATAAACTGAAGCACAACTTCAATGACCTACCAACCTCATAGCGTGAACCTTGTTTGAACTATTGAGAAATCTAAGTTGCCTTTTTGTCTACACTGTCCATTTGGGACCACTAAGTGGAGCTGAAATTATCGATCCACAACCCATGTACCTGTCCAATACACCCCCCGAATATCAGAGCCTTTTGTGACTTGACAGACTGCAAGCTCCACAGGGCCTTACAGAAGAGTTCACAGCAGCAGGAAGAGCAGGGCAGCTCCCCCTATCAAGCACCTGTCAAGGCCCAGGGGCCACTGCAGGTCGTGACCCTGCCGGACACAAGTTAACCCAATCCAGGTGGCTCTCAGCCCGCTGCGTGCACTGCTGGGGAAGCCCTGGGCACTTTCAGCAGGTCATCATGCTCTCCAAGTCAGAACAAACTGGGGGATCCAAACCTCTGTAGTCGTGCTTTTGAAAATACCTCCACCACAGCAATACAGTAGTAGGTACACCACACGGAGTGCTGCTCCTGGTCAGCTCTCACCAGCTGACTTGGCTGAAAACCCCGGAGGAAGAAGGCCGAGTCAGACTTACGAGTCGTGAGCTCCTTGAGCTGCTGCTGCAGAGTGATGGAAGCGTTATAGGTACGGAACACTTTGGCTGTGAGTCCGTCCATCAGCTCCTGAAGGTGCTTGTTCAGAATGGAGGTCTAGGATAAAAGAAGACCATAAAACTGCTGACTCTGGGGTGGAAAACCCACATATTAATGCTCTATTGAGCACCTTGTCTCTCCCCACAGGAACCATGCTCCCGCACCAGTGCTGGAGAGGCCAAATGGTGACTCCAGACTGTGAAGTAAACCACTAGATCCTGCAGCCTTTTAAGACATTAGTGTGGAGAACCACAATCTAAGGCTTTAGAGGAAAGCAATAATTTGCAAGCCTGTACTAAACAAAAAATAATCACGCGATCACCATATTATATTGAATACCAGTTATATGCACTTCACGGTTTATACCAATCATGTTATCTTCCTTTGGTGAAAATCAGTGATAGCATTCACTTTGGCGACAGTTTCTAGTGCCAAGTTATTTTACTGCAACATCTGTTACAATTACACTCCAAGGAAAATGCTTTCAGTAGCTATGTGTGCATGGGACACCCTCACACAAAGAGACTAGACCGTTTTATACATGGATACCTCCTTACATTGAGACGGTCAAAGAGGTCATCTTCAGGTTGCTTGTTCTCCATGAAGAGCTGCAGATTCTTGAAGACCTAAGAGGGAAATAATTCAGAAATTCTGTACTGCACTCAGCAACCAAACAAAACTTACTACCACCACTGTGTAGTCAACTGTGGCTCTACAGACAAGATCAAAATTATTCTCTCGTTTAGCAAATGTCTGTAGTGAATCTACTGCATCTGTGAAGATGAGGCCAAGGGAGCTGGCCGCAGTGAGCAACACAGCCCACAAGAGGGAGCCATCTCCTTTCCACTGCCCTCTGGGAATTCCTCACAGGCATACAAAAATACCCCGATTGCAACACGCGCCCGAGGACAGGCCAGTCACGGAAGTACAGCTGATGAGGTAGGCAGGCACCAACACGTACGTCAGAAGAGACTGATAACATGAAAAGGGAGCTCCCAAGACACTGACGTCAACCGTTCTTAAAGCTCACCTTACGAGGATATAGAAAACAATTGACAGGTTACACCTGCCATTTCCCACCCACGTACCAGGAAGTTAGAAAGTATTGAATTGCCTGCAACTCGGCTATACAACTGAAGCACACAATCAATAACTTTCCGTACTCTTACAATATGCCTCTCACCTCAATCCTGCACTTCCCAAACCCTAGGAGACGAAGTTTCAAGTATCTTTTGTTGTGGTGCTCCTGTGTCTTTCACTCAATTGTTTTTACCTCTACTCTACTGCTATAACTGTCTAATTAGTGTTAACTCTACTATTGCATTAATTCTAACATTACTATGAGGTTTCCCTTGTATAAATAATACATTAATACTAGGGCAGCCAACGGTCTACTGCAGCCATCGATGAGTTCTTCACCAAATGAATGAAAAACATTTCCCTCCTGGTCTCAAGCCTGAAGATTTACACTGGCAGCGTCACGCTTCAGCAGCAGTTCAGGAGTGGAAAACAAGCTCCCCCCCCCTCTCTTACCCTCTTCTCCACAGGAACCTTGTTGTAGTAGCGGATGGAATCCTTTCCCAGGAAGTCGAACTCCACCATAAATTCCTGGCCATCCAGCTCGGGGTGCAGCTTGATGTGCTCCACTCTCAAGGAGCAGCAGCCCACTGTGTCCGCCGTCTCCCCCTCCTCCTTCTCGTTACCTGCTCTCAGCGCCAGCTGGGACGGAGAAAGGCACTCGTTAAAGCCCTACGCTGCAGAGAGACTCGCAGTGCGCCTGCGTGCCAGAGACAGGCAAGAGTATTGATGGTTTGATGGGTGTTGGCCTTGGCACGTCCGCAAAAAGGAAGAAGTCTGCGGATGTACCACCACCCAATCAGGACAGATTCCACGCAATCCAGAAAAGGACGTTTTCCCCATGACAATTGGTCCGTCGTGGTATTTCAAATCCCTTTCCTTTTACACGTATCTCCGTGAGTGTCGAACTGTGGGGACACCCTAATAACCTGAAATATTCTCCTTGGCAGGCCAAGATGTTAGCGAACTGTAAATCTTCGCTGCCAAACGGTTCCTCTATACCTGGGCTCGCAGTGAAAAACAAGTCTGCATCTATCTACAAGGTGACAGCAAGATTTCTCTACATGGCTGTAGAATGAAACCTGCTGGACTTCGCAAGTCAATCTTGAAAACCCATGATTATGACTTTCAGAAGTGCCAAAGTTCCTGAATCGGGAAGAGAAGCTTCCTGTGCAAATTCCCTTTGTCTTTCGTCTGTGGGCGGCTCCAGTGTAAAAAGTATGTAGTTAGAGCTAACCTCAGAATACAGTTTGGATGATAAATGTGCTCACCTTGTCTATAAAGTAGAGGGCAACGGCTCTCTGACGGATTTTCATCTCCTTGGACTTCCAATCCTCCCGGTACTGGTTCCGAATCCGGTCCACACACTTCTTCAACCTCCGCGCCGTCTCATACTTCTGCCAGTCCTTCTCTCCCTGAGGGAGCAGAGGGGACAGGCACCTGAGCATTCCAGCGCACCAACAGGGAGCATGGCCCCGAGAGGCATGTGTCCACACGGACACAGCAGCACCTACTTGGAGGAACGGCTGCTTCGGACTTCTCCAACGCGAATCAGCTGTTTCCCCTATTGTCATCTGTACGTTTGTGCGTTTCTTGGACGTAACTTGACAGCTTTTAAAAAAGCCCTACTGCACAAATTCAGACGCAAGTCCAAATTCCTAGAAATACAAACTAGCACTAAAAGCAGAACAGTTCGAATTCTGTATTGCATCAAAGCCACAAGCCACGACTTTCCAATGTACCTTGATCCTGGAGCTGGGGTTCAGCATGATGTACTTGATGGAGCCCTGAATGTTCTCCGTCCAGGATACCAGCCACGTCACCTTGTTGTCATGACGCACCTCCTTCCACTTAGTACCGGGAGGCGGCTTGGGAACTTTGGAGTCCCTGCAGACAAAGAGGCACGAATTGGAGGTAGCTCCTAGAGTTAACCTTGCACTCCCGCCTCAAATGCACCATGTGCGGAAATATAACACTCTAAAGTTAAAATATTCTTTTAATTCTTTTAATAAGAATTTTGAAAGTTTGAAAGGCTTGGTAATGCATTGGTCAGCAGAACTAAAGCAGTTGACATGGGCTTGATTACCTCCCAGGAAAGTATTATTTTATTGCTGATAGACCAACAAAAACCTCCACGCCGTCTTTTGTCAGGTACTACAGGTCAAGATGCAGATCTATAAAATTGCTCCTCTGAAGGCACAGACTAACTGCAGTCTAATGTAAACCTGAGCCACTTGATAAGTTATAACATTTTCGCTTTTCACCACGTTTCAAATTCTTCTTCACCAAATCCCAAGCAAAACATTTCCCCCTCTGCCTGCCTGCCCCTCCACAAATGGCATTCCCTTCAAGTTTTTTAAAGCAAAGGACTCCCACAATAAAGCCCTACTACGACACCACAAGTACAGTGCCGTAAAGACATAACCACACTAGCAGCAGTACTCGACAACCCCCCTCAGCAGTACAGATCCCAGAAGTAGAAAGCTCCATAAACAAAGGCCAGTATCCAACGATGCTGGGAACGGAGCACGGGTGTCCTGTAGAATCTCCATTGCAGTTTTAGGCAGAATAAAGCCAAAGGCGTTTCTGCTGCTATGAAAAACCCAGATTGGAGTTTTGGAAACCCTTTGATCTTCAAAAACGAACAATATCTCATTATCTAAAGCACTGTCTATAGCTATAGCACCTAATCAGCAAAGCACAAAAAAAGAAAATAAAATCTGGGTCTCGTACACTGGGGGTGGGGGTGGGGAACTGTAAATCAACTAGAAGCCAAGTTTGTACTGTTCCAAAAAATCTCCGTCGATAATATTAACTATCATTTGACAACAGCTAAATGTTTGTACGAAACAGAAAATCAAGAAGACAGTTCTTTAGTTTGCCTCTAAAACCTAGCCGATTATACAGTGGGAGCAGAATCAGACTTCATACGTGGATATTCCAGGCTAGCTAACATTCCCTGGGTGCTGTACAGTCACTGCAGCTCCCCCAGCACCTGGACGGACACACACACACACACACACACACGTGAGCGCTCACTTGCTGCAGTTGATGATGATGTCCTCCGGCCGGATGCGCCTCTTCAGCATGCCCATCTTGGGGTGGTCCCCTCGGCCCCGAAACAGCCCCGGGGGCTCGATGCGGAAGTTGGCGATGCGCTCCTTATGGTTGTCCATCACACAGTAGCCGTACTCCTGCAGGATTCGCTCATTCTCCTCTTTGATTTGCTACAAGAGAAGTCACTTGCCATGACTTGGATGTATTTTTCTTCAGCACTTCCCCCACTATGCTCTAAAAGGTCTTGTCATGTTGCAATTCTCTTGATGTATCCAAGGTTGTTTTACACATTAGAGTACTTTACAATAGCCCGTAAAGGCAACAGAACTATTTTTCCTAGTAAAAACGCAAGGTTCTCCAACTTTCAAAACCAAACATGGTTACTCTTTAATTCGTCGTCCCTATCAAAGCACGAGCCTTGAAAGGCACAAGAGAGCCTGTTCTGCACTTGGCAGTATGGATCCGGACACCAGCGTGCTGAAGACTACATACATCTTCTGTGTCCCGAAAACCAGCACCCACAACACTGCCAGCTGAAGGCCGCAGCGTGAAATTCCTCAGCACGTGGGAAGTGATATGATGCCTCTGCAAACCAGTCCAACAGGCTGCGTTTCAATATTTTCAGATAAGGTTTGTCTACATGGAGACAAGAGGGGCTTCTCCTACCCTACAATCAGTCCGCATTCTGAGTTTCAATATTTTCAAATAACATCCCTTTAAAAGACACATTTGTTGGGCTCTCAGTTATTTAAAGCTGCCCTCTCCACCCCATTTGATAAAAAAACGTTCAGTTTTTTAACCAGCTTAAGCGTAGCAGCACGTTCCTTTGGATTCCTACTCCCTGATGTACCGAAGCTCACCTGGAAAAACCCAGCTACATTGCCCGTCTCCACACTGAACACTCGCACATGTGGAGCCAGGCGTGCACACTGGGTAGCCTACGCACCTGCTTCTCTTCTTTAGTCATCTGTTTCTTGGCCTCAGACTGAGCCTTGAAGTACTCGTGCATCTCTGTGAAATTGCACTTATTCAGGTCAGTGATAATGGACTTCTCCTCAGGCGTCATTTCCTGGGGCACAGAGACAAAGATCCAATTACTCTTTCGTTTAAGCCACCGAAAATTAACCTGGCCGCTGTCAGCGACGACAATCGACGTGACCTCACATCACCACCCAACTTCACCACTTGAAAATAATGGAACACAAGAAGACTGAAAACGATGCTCAGTCATTCAGCTTTTCCCTCTTTATAATTGCCACTTACTGCAAAGGTCAATACCTGTTCAACAACTGTGATATACAAAATGAATGTATATATATATAATTACAACGTAAGTGAAGACGGACAGTACTGGGGAGTAATTAGCTACTAAAACACTAAGGAGCTGGAATACCGATTACATTTTAAACATTAACCTCCCCTGTGCTACACACACAGTGGCTTATCAATTTTGAGAAAGGCAAACGCATTCCTGTAAAAATACAATTTGTGCGCTTTAGGCACAAAGCAAGTGTAGAACAGCCACTTCTCATCCTTTTTACCCATTTTAAAAGACGAAACATTTTAACCTTGAATGTTATGTTGGAAGACTTAACACACTTCCTTGAAAAACAAAAAGATTTCTGGAGAAAATTCCTCCCCGCTGGGAAGGATGCATGCAGGGAGGGAGGGTGGAACACTCCCAGTCAGAAACTTTCCCCAATCTCCATTTGCACTCCATTTCTGGGCACAAAACACCTTTCCAAAGGGCGTAAAAGGCAAAGCATTCCCTATACCTTACGCCAGTCCTTGAAGAAATTTTTCCGGAAGATATCCTTGGTAGTGTATTCATGGTCCAACATTTTGGCAAAAAAGGTGGCCACTTCCTCTGCCTGAGAACTCAGCTTCATGGTTTTCCCTGTGGAAAAGGGAACAGCTTCATCAGGGAAGTGCCAATGGAAAACAATACTTCTCTACCCCAGAGAGTCTGCAGTTGTGGCTGCAAAGACCTATTCTGTACAACGAGGCGAGTATGAAATGAAATCCGTCATACTCCTTTACTAGCCTTTTCTATCAGGATGACTGGATGTGAACAAGCAATATGAAAGCCTTCTTAGGGCCAGATGAGGCCATTCACATTTTGAAAGTAATGGCACACGGGTTCAGGCCAGAAGGACACAAAACGTGGGGATTCATTCGATCTGCTGTTCCAAATAAGAGCAAACCAAAACTTCGCTTTTATTTCAAACTCCAGCTGCAAACTCTTGCTGACTCATTCCTTAGAGCCTGGCTTGCAGCTGACTTTCTGCTATGCAGAGGTGGAGTAGCCATTAAAAAAAAAAATTGAAAGTCCAATCTTACCGTCATAGTAGAATTTGACATTACCGGGAAGAGGTTCATAGGGAGGGGCAAAAACTGGACCTTTGTGTTCCAGAAACTTCCATTTCACCCCATCTGTGTACCGCTCTTCCTCCCACCTGCAGCCAGAGCAGATGAAAAAGGGTTAACAGCCTGCTGTCCGGTTGCTGTTAAAAACAGACTTGTGTACTTAAATTTGCCATTTTCAGCCTTTGGCTTCTGCCAGCAGACCACATCTGTGTTTTTTTTTTTACTCTACTGGGGTCTGCAACACGTCTGACCCAACAAAACCACCTCTCACAAAGTCTGACAGAACAGCGCTGTTCAGGAGATGCAAACCTTTCAAAACTTTAAAATAATCTAATGCCGCAAAAAGTAAATGTTTTTAAAAGGGGGGGGGGGAGGTACATATGACACTGCTTTACACAGAGAGTGGGGGGCATTTTTTCACGTCACTTCTGAATATGAACAGATTTTTTCCTTGTAGTCACATTAGCGGTCTTCTGCCAAACACTATTAACAGTGAAACTTGTGCTGCCTTCAGGACTCCAGAACTCAAAGACATTCCTAAACCTGCAAAGTCAAGCGAGGCTAAAGAAGGGATGCACAGCTGCAGTTCACTGCCGTGATGGGAACTTCTGGTGGACGATCTAAAAAAAGAAATCTAGCTCTTTGTCAGTTTATAGGATGCCCCTAAACTGCAGAACAGGCGCTGTACAAGAGTGCTTTACAAGCAAACTCCGCAAAACGAACCATTTCCACTTCTCCTCAGGCTCTTTCTTTCCTTTCTTCTTGCCGTCAGCAGCTCCTTCCTTCTTATCCTTGTCTTTTGTCTTCTTTTTGGGTTTGATATCCTAAAAAAAAAAACAAGCACTCGTCAGCAACCGAACAGGCGACACTAGATCGGAACCACCACGGCCAACTACAGTACTCCACGGTGCAGTTCTCCATCCCAACATTTAAAACGACTTACAAAAACATGAGAATTTCACACATACCTCATCTTCTTGTTTCCTCTTCTTGGCCTTCTTCTCATCTTCTGTCTTGATTTTTTTTGGCTTAAATTCAGTGCTGCAAGAAAAAAACATCCAGGATATTAAGCCAGCAGGCTCTCAAACTAAAGCAAGTTTCTTTTTGAGCCCTTAATTCCATAAATTCTTAACTTCTGCTGAATGCTTTTACTTTTAGAGGACTGGATTAATTATTAAAGATTACCTGAATTGAATAAAACGAGCTTAACGTGCCAAAAAACTACCCACATATGCATATAAATATTCAGATGGACCCTGGGATTTTTGTGGGTGAATAACAAGGCTTAAGGAGTTGTAAGGAATACAATTTTTAAGACACCGATAACTAATTGTATATCCGTCATCAGAAAGCTACTTATTCCTCTTAAGGATTTCCATCCGATTCCTATCATGGAAGAGCAAGGCAGCACTACACCCTAGATGGGCTCCATTGGATTGCAGGACACACATACACAAACACAAGGACAATTTGAAACTCCAATTAACTGGTCTTTGGAAGGCAGGAGAAAACACAAACGACCATGGATTTGAACCCAAAGACCCAAAAGCTGCGGCACATGTGCTAACCCACATACCAATGTGCCGCCCATGGTACATATCTGGTCAAATCTTGATGCGTCAAAAATAAAGACCGCATGATAGACTAGAACTTGAGGAAAATCATAGACAAATGCTTCCAATCAAACTGTACCTGATAAATGTAATGCCACAAGAGGACCTTTTAAGGCAAGTGCATAATCCAGAGAGTTTTCACAGCAGCCAGGAGCAGAGTCTTACTCTAACTTTGTGCCAAGAGATACTCACTCATCGTCATCCCGTTCGCGCTTTAGTGACTTCTCGTGTTTAGGAGAGAAGCAATAGTCATCACTGTCCGGCTCTGCCTTTATGCGAGGAGGACTGAGGAAACAAGAAAGAAATAAAGTCTTTACATCAACTTTGAACGGTTAAAGAAGCTGGAACTCTGCCGCGAGGCCGCATGAAACATCGGCTGCGATTCCCTCTTCTTTTTAATTTTGAGCAAAGAGGACAAAAAAAAAAACTGTGCTTCACAAGATTAATACAGACTGTTCCTTTAATATAGTTAGATCATTTCTGAATACTTCAGAACGAACAAGGCATTAAAAATGATATACCATTCTAATAATAATTGTGGTTCCATAGTATTACAGAACAAGGACCAGGGGTCTTGATCGAAACAAGATCTAGTAATCCAGGAACAATTCTGCCTCCTGCAGAGGATCAGAACTCCAGTGCTCTTTTGAACTTACGGCTGGCCCTCAACAGTACTCACCTAGAAAACCCATTTTCTTTTTCTTTTTTTACTTTATCTTCCTGACTGGGAGACTTGACCTGTATGGGAGAGGAAACAAAATAGTCACCGCCAAAGGAGCAATATTTTCTCAAAGACATTAAAGACTTAGTCTTAACTCCTAACAGAAATGAAACCTAGTTCCATGCTATGAGGATAGGTCAGGAAGTGGCTAATCTCATCACAAAAAAATGGTTCATGGAAATCTCCTGCACAAATCGACCATGAACAAAAAAAAAAAACATCCCAATTCCTCCTTTAGCTTAAGAACTACAGCTATATTGAGAATGTGCTCCGAAAAAACCAGATCTCACTAATAGTGAGCAAAGGTCTGTCACCAAATTCCTGGTGAAATAAGGGAGAATAAAATCACTGAAGTCCCCTAAAATGAACGGCAATGGAGTCCCCTAATACTGCGCAGTAGCAGTCGGCTGACAACAACTGCATACTTGATGGCGATTCAAGGTCAGAATGCCATGTTAACGTCCATCATGGATGATGTGAGGGCAAGGGATGGGATCTTAATGGCAGATCAACTCAAGGTAGGTGACAGCACAGCGTGGAAGTGTTCGAACAAGCACTGAGCTATGTCCAAGTTCTCTGCAGAATGGAATGTCGGCTCTAATTCTGTACAAATGGAAGTAATCAAGGCATCACCCCTGTAAGTCATCAGTGAGGATCTGGCCTACTTTCAGGCCACTTTAGTTACAAGCATTTTAACACAAGTCCACCACCAGAACCCGGAGAGCAAAGAGTCCATCAAGTCCCCATAGCCCAACACATCTGTAAATGCTTTCTGCTAATCCACTATCAAATCATAGCATCCGTTTCCCAAGATGAAGAGGGAGCCATGAGGACTCGCTGCTGTGCCACACAGTACTGCTCCAGGAGTATTATGCCTAACACTGTCAGTTTCAACGTCACAGTAACAGCTAGGACTATAGCTGAACTCACAGCACAAGAGATCGGCCCTGGCCAAGCGTAACTGCTGTCTGCTTTAAAATCTGAAGAACGGACAATGACAAAGGCCCAAAGCCATCACCTGAGCTTTTGTCAGAAAGACAACCTGAAGAGTTCTTTTCAACCAGCACAAAGACACAACAAAACAGGCACAGTGCACAGCAGTCAATGGGAACTACACTGAAGAATGCAACAAAACTTACAGACCAACCTCAATCATTCCAGAACAATTCAGAATAGTGTAGAAAATAAGCTTTATTTCCATTAAACTTTTATCCACTATAACTTCACTGTCCTGATTTTATGGCATTAAATCTGTAGTTGATGTTGTGGCCCAGCTGAAAGACCACAGGAGGAGATTTTTCAGTGACCAGGCTTAGCACTTCTATCTTGAAATGAGTTATCGCAGAGCTGATGCAGTAACAGCTCCTCTGAAGGGTACCACAGCAGAGTACTGTTTCTGGAGAGCAACCCAGGTGGAACCCTATCCACAAGAATTACCTTGACACTCACCTTGAATTCCTTTCGTTTCTCTTTGTCCTTGTGCTTGTGTTTCTCTGAGCTACCGTCTTTGTGCTTGAGCTTGTCCTTATCTCTGTGTTTCTTTTCGGAGAAGTCCTTATGTTCACTGCAAGAGAGGATCATTTAAGAAAAAAGGAAGTAACATTGTAAAAACACAAGACAAAATGTGAATTTAGAAGGCACTCTTCCAGACACATCAGGAGAGCACACTAAGAGAAGTACTATGACCAATTCATTCTACGTTCTTTGGTGCTGCCATTTTATATGGCAAAGTTAAATCTTAAGACTTACAAAAAGTATCACTTTTAATAGATAATGAAGTCAAGGCTAGCTACCCCAATTTCTAATATTTCCCATATCCAGTTTCCGAACCACAGTGAATTGCTTGAGCAAGGACTAAAGACAAAAATGTATAAATTGCACACAGATGTAAAATCAAAAGTCAATCTGGCAAAGCTTTGTGAAAAGCAATTCCATTAATGATCAATACACTCTTCTAAATGCCCTCTCCATTTTCTCAGACACAGACTCCAACTTCAGACTTGCAAATGGTAGGATTTTATAAAGAGGCGCTGCGATACACTAGCAAGAGACCGTCTGGTTTAAAAACGTCTTGTTAGTCACTCGCAATTTTAGCTGGAGCAAGAAGGTCTGACCGAACACCGGAAAGCTTTTCAATGGCAGTCAGATAATAGACAAACTTCCCGGGTGACAGGGAAACTTTGTTTACAAAGTCAGAGAGAGGAGGAAGGCATTGTGGAGAGAACAAAGCTAGGCCCAGTCAGCACTGAGGCCCCAGACAGACACTCAAACTGTCCCACCCTGCCCCCACCCTGAGTGGGAATGGCTGTTCCACAGTAATGAGGGCTTGAACTGAAGCTTGAGAACAGCCACTGGCAACTTTGGAGGCGATAGAACGCAATTAACCAAAACGTCAATTGCTACAGGTATTTTGAGTCTGTCGTGGTTTTCAAAACTCGTGGGGCGGATGTTCTGTAGGATATTGTTCAAGACTTCAACAGTGGGGTGAAAGGCAAACCAGTTAGTGGCAGTTATTGTTAACTAAAGCAGTCCAGACAAGCCCATCTGAAACAGGGGCAGGTGTGATTACCAATGACACACTAAAGTGTTTATATTTGCGCTGGACTTTTACGGTTCATGTAGATCAGTTAGTTCGGCCTCCACTGGGTGGGGTTTCACAGGAAGCCCAGGACCTGCGTCCCGGTCAGTTCAGTCAGTAGTCTGAAGTGAAGAACACTGCGACCTCACATACACCCACAGGCCTAGTGGCTGCCACTACAGAACAGCAGGGATGGGGGGTGGTCGAAGCAAAACACATTTGTGTGCAAGAAATAAAAACAGCTGAAAGGGAAGCCTGAAGCTTAAACAGTCTCTAAAAAAAATAGAGTCAAGAGACAGGCTGGGATAAACTTTCCTTTCTACAAAAGAAATTTCAACTTCATTTTTATGTCATTAACTGCTGTACTACTTTCCCGATACCCTTTTCATTTGAAAAACGATCTTTCGAAGTATTTGCTCCATTTAGCTCCGAACAGTGCCCCGCCCCACACATACAGGCATACAGCAAGTCCTACAATACTTATGCCTTGCTGTTATTTTTCATTTCAGTAGCAAAACGAATATGAATATTAGATTCCACAATTCCCCCCCCCATAAAAAACTGGAACAGCCAGCTCATGTCTTAATGCGTAGAAATTGCTGTATCGCTTGTCCTCTCAAAAATGAAGACTTTCATTGTCCAAAAAACATTTACTACAGTCAATACACAGACTTTGTGTAGTTTTCCATTGGTTTTAACGTCTTAAGCCAGCTTTTCCATACCACTGTGGGACTCGCCATCAGTATCTTATAACTTCACTCCGTGTGGTATGTTAGATTAGACTGGACAAATGATTAATTGAAGCCACATGGGCTGTATATGCCCTTAAACATCTAGCATCTGAGGGCACCTATAAAGCATAAAAGACTGCAACTCGCCAACAGTGGGCTATGCAGGACTCCCTTGTATAACCAGCCAATCAAAACAAGCCTGAGCAAGCGGTTAGAATGACCACCTTCTCCGGCTTTCTTCCGCCCTGCCAGAGCAGGCAGTGATTCAGGACGTACGAGATAAGGCCCCAGTGAAACCTCTCCGACTCAAGGCAGAATCGTGAAGCTCATGTGCAGAATGAGCAACAAGGAATTTAATCACAAGCCTATGAATCTGCCCCCCCCCAATCCAAGAAAAAGGGGTAAATGAAAGGGGAACCAGACCCCAGCTTTACATGTGCGGGTTCACCCATATGCACATGTAAAGATGCATGTATTCCCAGTATCCATACACTAAGCATCAAAAGAAACTACAGGAAGTTACCAGGTAAACAGTTTTTATTTTGTACCAGAGGCACTGACAAACAGAATTTGCTATCCACAGGGTATCTGCTGTGAAAGTCACAGGGTTAGTGATAGTGTCTGCATGTGTTTCTAGTATTGCAAGCTTACACCTTTGATGTGCTGTGGGATTGTCCCAGTCCAGGCTGCACAAGAGGACAAACAAGTCAGCTGATTTGTCTCTGAGCTGCAAATGCAACACATATAGACCCTGCCCATCCTACAACTATTAAATGGGGCCCAATCTGGCAAATCTGGCATCTACATTCTCATTCTGCAAGAAAGGGGTTCTTTGAGAAAGGACAGCAAATGAAATCCCATGACTTTACCCATGTAATGCTGTGCAACAAGGACATTGTGACCCAGATTATAGCTCATCACTGACAGGCTGTTTAAGTTTCAGGTGTGAATGAGACATATTGGTTATTTTCAGTTTTACCTCCTTGATTTTCACCAAGCGTGACCTTCAACAGGTCAAATCAAATCACTGACTGCTGCATAACATGGTCACTCACAAAAATTAGTGACACCCAAAAAAATCCAAATCCAAAATCTATTTTCTTTCAAAGTCATGCATGCATGCATAAAGTGACAGATACTCAAACATACTGACTAACGGCACCAATGGTTTTCCAGAAAAAAGGAGCTGGTTCCATCAGGGGGATAAACAAGATCGTGCCCCCCCCCCCCTGACAGCAGTGGTAACAAAAGCTAGGGGCCCTGCTTCTCACACAGACCAACACAGCGACTCCGGTACCTGTTACTATGCTTGGATTTCTCCCGTTCCTTGTCCTTCTTGTGGTCTTTGTGTTTGTGTTCTTTGTCCTTATGCTTGTCTCTGTGTCTATGGGAATCTGCAAAGACACAGAAAAAGCAGTACACATGAATATACAGACAGCATTCCGCACTACACTTAACTACACTCAGCCAGCCCTCACAGAAGAAGTCACCCCTAGTTAAAAAACACTCAAGTGATAAGACAATAGCTGTTAAAACGCAAACAATAAAACTGGGAATTGAGTACTGTACTTGATGACATGGAGCTCAATGTGCAAGACAATCGTAAGATTTAAAAACTTATTTTATGTGCAGACAACGGCACCTGCTATAGTCGCTATTACTATAGCAACCAACGCCCATGCACAGCCAATTCCAGCTCTCAGGGCTGCTAAAGCGCTGTGCAATTAGTCACAAATCACTCGGACAGCAGGAAGTCCATCGGAGAGCAGTGCAGGGAACAGCGCCAACCCAACACGATCAGGTTCGAGAGTCATTTTCTCAATGACGGAGAGGGAGGTGAAAGCTCATGAAGTCCGTCGATTGGAACTTTCGCTTCTTCCCGAAAGGCTTCTTTCGAAATCCTCAGCTTCCAGGACGCGCGTGAGAAAGCATCACGCAGAAGGCCATCAACGCCTTCCAGCGATCCCGCAGAACGCTTTGGGTGGATTCGCCTCGTTCCGGTATCTAAAAGCCGGCCCCTGGTGTGATCCCAAGGCAGCGGAAGAGAGGTGAACTCCAGGGAATTCCGGCGCAGTGGAGTAGAGACGGCAGGACTGATCTCCCACTGCCCCCAGCAGCACGGCGAGAGCAGTACCAAGGCCAGCAAGCCACTTCTCGCCCTGGGCCCAAGACGCCTCCCTTCTGCATTTATGAGTGCAGTCGTTTTGGATTCAGATCACTAAAAAAAATCCTGCCTCCACACGCGAGAACAAAATCCACGAGAAGAACGCGCGAGAACAAAAAATTACTTCAGAGCCCCAATACAAAAACCCCCTTCCACACTCGGAGATCACACTTATACTAGGTCAGCACTGCAGTGCTGTAAGTACTGAACAGCTCACACTCATGTCGCGCAGTGTTCAACCACCATGGTGGGACTCTTTCAGTTTGTTCAGAAACCTGTACAGACAATCGCTTCGCAAAGCCCTGCCTCTGGGTCACCTACACAACAAAGTACAAATCCGGAGGTGATGAAGGGGAAAGGAATATTTTTTATGCTTGCGATACAATAAGAGAAGTAGACATCTTTTGGTCATATTATTACCACTGATCGGGGCAGTCACTAGCCGTGCACAAAATCATCATGGCTGTGCACAAAATACCTGTCAACAACAAGAGAACAATTTACTTCTATCCCCATGGAAAAACACATTTTTACAAAAATTCCAATACTCCATCCACCCACATGAGGAAAATGTTCTAAAATCCCCGACTCTCGTGCATGGGTGGCGAACTTAATTCCCTAATTAAGAAAGAACTTCAGTGGAAGTGTCAGGATTCAAGAGCACAGCCAGACTGCGCCGCCCCGTCTATGATAGGAATCAGGAGGAGGGAAAATTTCCCTGAAATGCTGACTTTTGTGTTTTCCAACACACTGGAGCAGGCTGGAGTGACTCAGCGTTGCGTCCTTATCAGGAATCCCAACTCCCACACAGGCTGGCCAGCTCCTTGAGGAGGCGGATGGCACAGAGGAAGAGCCGAGACATACACTGTCCCCCCCACCGGCTCGCTTCGTCATCGACAGGAGCCGGGAGACTCGGCAGAGACATTCCCGAACACGGCAACCTCGTTCCAGTTACAGGAAAAAGGAATTTCATTCTTGAAATGATGGAAAACGTGAACCTGAAATCACGGCAATTCAGTGGACATTTTTTAAATGTTTATTCCACAGACAAAAGTGAACACTTATCTCCCTTGTGTAGTTTACCAGATGCCAACTATAGTTTAGGCAGGATTTAAAAGACCTGTTCTGACTACACCTGGGTGCAGTAATACACATAGCCTTCAAACTGGGGCCATTTTGGTTTGTTCTTCAGTTATCCATCCAAGAACAAGATTTTCTGACCATTTCTGCTATAGGTTCTTGCCTGCAGGCATCCAAAATACACAAATTAACACCGTCCTTTTGACCGCCCAGGGTGGCTGAAAAGCACCTGTTCCAACAAATTTGAGTGATTTGGGCAAAATCACACAAGAGGAAGACACTACATCGTAAAATGTGAAAAAGATGGGATAGTGATGCCACTGATTACTAATTAATCTTCAAGTGAAAGAAGTGGATAAGCAGTGTATGTATAAATTTCCTTTCAGACACACGGGTCTGGAGTGAAGGAAAACTGGAAAAGGGCTGTGTAAAATTAGAAGAGGGTGTATGAGCATGCGAGGACAATTCATTTCCAGAAAAACTGTCCGTTTAATGCAAAATAAAAACGAAAAAATGTAAAAGCATTTTACACCATACACGCACAAGAAAGCCTGCAAACATCTGGTCTTTTGTAGCAGTCACCCAGACCTGGGTGTGACTAAGCACTTCCTAATGAAGACTTGAAGGGAGTTTTTAAGAAAGTCCAAACTGGGATCCTATGTCTGTGTCACCAATGCGTTTTCCTAGGTATATCCTAACCATTCCGCTTAGAACGTACTATTTATATATAATCTCCCTCCCCTTCCTTTTAGACAGAAGAATTTCTTTAGCCAGCATTAGATAATCCAGAGTCTCGCAATCATTGTAGGCGCTGTACTTTGAACTCTAAAGCTACAATTTCCTTTTAATGGTATGGTGACCACCAAAATTAAACAATATTCTAAATATAACTCAAATAAAGCAAATCCTCTTATTCCCACTAACAGGATCTACATTAACCCCTTTAAATTCTGTTCCACCCTCACTGTAGGAAATACAGGCAGCTCTTCTAAAGGCCACCATGCCATAATCCCCTGCATAATTCGCTTAATTCAATTCTCATTTCAAATCCTGGGGAAGTCAGGAAACTAGCAGAACTGCTGTGTATTTCACAGAAATCCAAGAGTCCCTTCATCTGGAAATTCTGTGCAATGTGTAGCTTCAGAGGGGGTAATTAAACAAAGGGCAGTCTGGTTGCCTTTTTGCTTCAGTCCAGTACAGTAGTTCTGCACATTGAGCCCCAGATACACGCTGTGACAGCTCCTACTACTATAACCGAGAGCTCTGGGACATGTCCCGTCCTAAAGAGGCAAAATACTGCAACTTCATGAGTGCCTTTTAATTAACAGCCGTTTAAAAACTGTAAATGTATATAGGCCTGCTTGACAAATGAATCAAAAATGGTAGGATAACTGGCTTCGGGGAAAACTGGTCCTGGTGTGAGTGTGCCGATATACGAGTGCCCTGCAATGGACTGGTATCCTGTCCTGACTGTACCCCGCCCTGGGACAGACTCCGGCTCCAACGATTAAGCATTAGAGTAGGCGTTAAGAAAACGGATGGATGTAGTCAGACTAAGCACTTCCAAGCTAATAGCTGGGCTATGAAGGCCCAACAGCCTTCATAGCCCAGGGTCAGGTGAACATTTGACAGATGAACTGAGTGCCCCCCATCTTCTTAGGGACACGCCTGAGCCATGTGGTTTCTGAATCGGCCTCCCAAGAGACCCCAAGTGGGTATGGGGGGAAAGGAGCAGAGGGGACAGGAGAGCCACCCGTGCCTCGTGTCTGTGTGACACAGCGCACAGACGGCTCCAGCGACAAGACAAGCCCCACTGTCAGCCACTTAACAATATCATTAGACAGCCTGCCTCTCGAGGCCAAGCCTTCAGCAAACACTGTACGACAATGTACATCACACAGGGAAGAACCCCGCACACACGCTCGACAACACAGCCATCCCTAGCGAAGGAGATGCATAATGTATGCCAGGCAGAAACAAAGCATTCTGCCTTCCCTTTATGCGTTTGAATACAAAAAAAAAACTACAAAAATCAAGTCTGGCTGAACCACCAAGAAATTCCTCTTTATGAAGGACAGGCCATCATCCTACCATGTGGCATTTTTAAAATTGAAAGGGACATTTGAAACTATGTGCTCAGTTATCAAAGCAATCCACAGAATACGACAAAAACTACTTACACATCTGAGTTCCAAAACATAAAAATCAGAAACAATCTGTTCAAGGACGTGCACACACCTTTCTCCAATACAAGGGGCAAGGCGTGCAAGTCTAGTGTGCACTGCTGCTGCAGACAGGCACACTGTACAGTTCATTCACCTGCGGAAACATGACATTAAGGCACAAAAAGGCCACTCTGAACCCCAAAAGGACAAAGTGCTTTGAAGTCACATTGAATGGGGAAGGGCATTTAACTTGGAAAAGTCACCTTTTACACAAAGAGTTGTGGGAGTCTGGAACAAGCTAAACAGCCACACTGTTGATGCCCTGACTTCCTTTAAGGAACAGCTGGATGAGAGAGCCTTGGATATATTAGCTACTATCAACTAAACAAGCTAGGTACATCACAAACAAGAAGAGGCTCTTTCACATCTTTCACTCTTACTGTATAGTTGAGACACATATTCAACTACATAAATTTACAACAAAGTGTCCAATGAATGGAAAAATAAAATGTCCTTGGATAATAGCCTTGTTTGATAATGTGTGCCTTCGAAAATCTACTTGAAGACTTCTAATTCTGTTTTGATTCAGAAATACATTGGAAAGCTAATGTAAATACTGTATGAAGTACTGAAAGATAAAAAAAATACACTTCAATTTGCTAATGTATTTTGGATCTTTGCAAAAAATGTTAACAATGGTCAATGTATTCAGGAACCGTGAACTGAGAAAATCACAAAAGCTCAGATTTTGTAATTGTGTTCAGTGAAACAGTTTTTTTTAAAATCAAAGACAACCCTATATAAAGCCATGCCACTTCTTAATTGCACAACGTTTAACAATTTCTATTTCTATTGCAATAACACAAGGATGTTTACACACTAAAATACAGTTTCCCCATGTATCACTGCTAGAGTTTCACTTCCCAGCCAGCGAGCAGCAAATTACTCTTAGGATCATTACCACGGACATCCGAGTAACAAAACA